ACGCCTGTTTACTGAGCAGTCATGCCTGTCGCCATCTCACTCGCTGGCGTCACGGGCGATAATATCAGGCACAAAGGGGCACACCAACCGGCAGCATTATCCCCAAATACTCGAGCCTCGCGTAAATACATAGAGTGTAAACGCTGTCGCCATGTTATCGTAGTAAGACCGCCCCCCCCCCCCTCCCCCAACGGGGGACTGCAGTACGCGACGGCGTACTAACACAACGGCGACGATATCGACATCGCGGGCTCCGAATTTTCCCATAGTTCTACTCCACGGGCATTTCTCGAAACGCTTGATATTGTGTACGCCCGCCTGGAAGGATTTCAGGCGCGTAGTTAAGATAAGGCGGTTCTCCGCGGCAAAAGAAAGCAATTTCACAAAAGCTTAAAAGCGGCGGCGACGCGTGTGCGGTGAACGCTTGTAGTTTTGGTGTAGACAGGGTGTGTGTGTTCTCGTTGTTGACACCAGCCGGCGATAAGGCACTGCAGGCGGTAGCTCAGTACAGCAAGGGCTAATCCGAGTGACCATCAACGTAACCCCACCGCCAACCCCTCGCGAACCGGTCGCCGACATGGCTCAGGCTGTGTCATGAACCACGTGGTAGAAGCTCGGGTGCTTTCATATCAGCGCGTGGAGGGACGACAGTGCGATTCCGGAAAGTCTTTTTCGAAGGCCGCTGACCACAATTTTTTGTCTGGAGACTTTCCCTCTTTCTTTCTTTGACGTGGATCAAGCTTTGCCGACAGCCTCAGTTGTGACCTCTCTTTTCAAATGTACGTTTGCAGTGAGTGAGCTCCTCAGCCTCGGACTTGTCACTTGTGCACCCAGTAGTTCTTTCACTTGGCAATTATATGCCATCAGTTGGGGTTAATTTCTATTATTTATGTATACATTATGAAGACGTCCTGGAGCTCCGAACGAGTGTTTTGTGCAGATTACTTTTGCAAACACAAAAAGACTATACCAAAGCAGCGGAATTTTCGAAGTGTTGGCGAGTTGGACCTAAACTCGTTGAAGCAAATTCTTCCGCCTGACTGTTCCACCAAAGTGAGTGCGACGGACTACCTGTACTACCATTGCTTCATGCACATCACTAAGGAGATCTCGATGCGAAGCTCAGAGCAGTGCCCTGACATATTTGTGCCAGCTGAAGAAGCAATTGAAGATCTAAATCGCAGCATACTACCTACAGATGTGTCGCCGCTGAGACAACCAAGAGTCGTAAGAAGTCGGGACAGGCCTGCCTATGTCAAGAGAAAGCAGACAGAACTGGAGCAGGTTGCTGTCAAGAATATACTCTCAAGGCTACGTATTGCGTACGACAGGGACGCACCATCGGGGTCGTCCGAACCAACATGCTCCACATGCACTGAGTGGGTGGACAACTTTCGGCAGGCCTTTGAAACCGCCACCTCTCTCCGGGAACGTTGTCAACTGCTTACACTCCTGCCGTCAACACTGACGAAGAATGAGGTTCAAAAGATGATTCCACAGGCCTCAATGTACCTCATCAGTAAATCCCGAAAACTCGAGGAAAAGCATGGCGTGTGGTATGAGCCGGATCCTTACACGAGGTGCAAGGTGAGTCCTGAGAACCTGTCTGCTGCCCTAGAGTACTTCACGAAAGACGAGCTACAATGTTCGCGCCAAAGTCCCAACCAGAAGGACGTCATCTCTGACATGCTCAACGGAGAGAAAACGTTTGTGCCAAAGCGCTTCATGACACGCTCAATACGAGAGGCCTTCCGTATATACAAAGACAAGCATCCTGATTCCGGCGTTGGGCTAACGAAATTTTATTCGTTGCGCCCTAGATGGGTCCAATGTATTCCACACCAGGAAGTGTGCGTTTGTGTGCGCTGCGCCAATTATTATCTTTGTATTGCCGCTCTAGAGAACGTTACAGGCTCAACATTCAACACTGGTGAAATGAACTCGGCATTTCTGTGCGACCCAGCAACAGAACTGTGCCTTCAAGGAGACTGTGATCACTGCCGAAAAGGCCAGTTTCTTACACTCCAGGAACTTGATATCCCGGAGGATGAAGAGATTGTGCTTGCAACATGAGAGTCCGGCGACCTTGTGAAAAAAACTTTGGAACCTGAGACTTTCCTAAAAGTCATCCAAGTGACGGTTGGAAGTTGGGTACTTCACAACCATATCCGGCAAACGCAAGGTAAAGCGATCTACGATGAAAAACAGTGCATGCAACGCGGGAGCATTGTCTTTCATTTTGACTTTGCTGAAAACTGGACCATCGTGCTTCCTGACGAAGTGCAAGCATATCACTGGAAAAAAAAAAAACAAGTTTCGATATTTACATGTGTAGTGACGACAAGGAAATCTACAAACAGCTTTGCCATCATCAGTGAGGACCTGTGTCACGACGCCGCTCACGCTTGCTTGCCTCTAGAAAAAGTGAAGGAGTGGGTTGAAGACAACGTTGCGGTATACTCGTACGTGACGTACGTAAGTGACGGCGCCGCCAGTCATTTCAAGAATCGCTACCAGCTTCACCAATTTGCAAAGAACGATTGCCCACAAGCCCAGTGGTTATTTTCTGCATGTGGACATGGGAAAAATGCATGTGACGGAGTTGGCGGACTCGTGAAGCACCAGGCCACGCTGAACAACCTGAGAGAACGTTCAGTAAGCGCAATTCAGACGGCCAGGACAATGGTGAGCGTTCTATCAAAGATATTTTTCTTTGATAGAACCTCATTTTCGTCCATATCTGGACGAAAATGAGGTTGTTCGGTATCGTGAATAAAAAAAAGAAGAGTGGCTGACGGTGCGCGCCTTCCCTGGCATTCAGTCCTGGCACGCGTGGCGGCTCAGCAAGTCATCAACAGAAGAGACCTGTGACGTATATGTAGCACGGACAGTCGGATCTGCTTGGAAGCAACTTTATTAAATGGGTACAGCGAGGAAAACCTTAGCGTAAAGTGCCGAATTTGATTTCCCAAGGACTGCTCATTTTGAATGCAGGGACATCTTATTTATCACATTTTTCTTCACGGGGTATTTAACCTGCTGTTTTTGTTGGTGGTTACTAATAATTTTTATCTGATCACTATAAAAAAAATCCCAAAATGTTATCCTCGAGCAGGATAAAATATATCGGCTTGCCACGATTCATTCATACACCGAGAGCATCGAAGCTGCTCCAGTTAGGCACTATGGCATCCGTCACCTGAAATTGTTTGTAATCGTAAATACACAGCCAACCTAAATATCTTACTATTATATCTTTGTTTTTGTGTGTGGAAGTAAAGTTATTTATTTTACTCTAGATGTAAAATATACCGGAAGGTACAACTTCACACTGCATCATCTTTTCTCAAATCATTAGTCTCTAATATGATAACACTTTGTACGCTTATGTAAAATGCTGTATATAGTTTCTCCTCCCTTTTACTGTGTGACCGATCGCTCTTTTCATCAATGACCTCATCTGAATAAATGTATATAAAAGATTTGTGCAAGTTTCATGAAACTGGAACTCAGAGTCACTTCTTGTATAGGACACTGCTAAGTGTAGGCTTTGAAAAAGGACCCTACTTTGGGGAGTTGTTTCTTCTTTCACAGTGCAATGATGCAACATGTTTTTAATAGAAATGAATGCCGAAATAGAGTATAACAGGTTCCCCAAATTTAAAAAAAATCGAAGGTGGTGTTTTTTTTTATTCGCATTGGAATTTTTCTTTGTTTGATTTTTTTCCCATGTTTGCCTAAATATATTGTAACTATTGTGTCACTCAGATACCTTATTTATTTTTTCAATAATAGCCATATATTAGTAAAATAATGTCTGCAAGTTATGTAATAATGATTAAATTATTTCATGAGATACAGATTTCCAAAGTTTGCAATTTGTCGTTCGAGCAGGCATGTTTGGCAATTTTTAGAAAACTAAATAAATTTTTAATAAATATTATTACTTTATATTACAAGCAAGTTGTACCCATAGTTTGTTTGTAAAAAGTTTTAAAATTCTCCTAATTTTATTGTTTTAATTATTCACTTTCAAACTTGCCACCTCCATCAGTGCGCGTTATTGCAACTGTCCACCTCTCCCTGCCTTACGATTTTTCTTGTCTCCAAATTTTTTTTCTGGTCAAAACTAAGTGTGGATTAGTTTATACCAGACACTAGACAATGTCATATAAAAACATCAGTTGATTTAAAAATGTCGACCAGCCACCCTTTGGTCGATCTTATCTGAAATCACCCTACAGCATTTGACTGCCAACTTTTCCCCGTACATTGTATCAATCCCAGATCTGTTTTTCAGCGAGGCTAAGAATGCCGCATTATCTAGCCAAGCCGTATTTCATTTCCTTACGTACCATAATTTCCGTTTAATCGATGATGTAACTGCAATACTTCAGTGATTTTACTCTTTTAGGTTAAGTATAAGCTCATCTGTGTATATTTTTGTTCACCAAAATTACATTTCTTGTTGCCCTATCTGACCCATTTTAGCTAGAACATTCCTACAACGAAGGTTCAAATGTAGAGGTTGAAAGGATAATTAAATATTATCTTCCCCATAAGTGTATCATCTTGGTTTTGAGTTCTCGGCCTCCCAGAATCTTTTCAGATGTTCTCCAGTGATATTGATATCAATCACAATAGCTTGAGAAAGTTCAGATACATGTCACATATTTCTTTTGTGAAGGATTAAAAAACCTTAGGCAACAGGGTAAGAGTAAGCAGTCACTTCTCCTCCAGAGGTCCGTCAGTCTAGGCTACATTTCACTAAATTTATTTGTAGTAGTTTAGTGATGAATTGTTCATGGGCCAGCTTTGACAGCAGGCAATAGCCGCCCCACATAATATATCAAACTTCGTCCGAGGTACGACCTCTATCTTGCGGGGTCCGGAGTCGTCTCCAGTTGGCCCAAGTGGGCTGTTCATTTTTTTTTTCAACACGAGATGCCAAGTCCCTTAATTAAGGAATGCCACACGCTCAACAATATATTATCCAACGTTTATTCGTGCACTACAATATAGCGGCACTTTATCTACTGTACTCTTAGCGGCAAGTATTGTCTCCATGAAGGCCGTTATTGCAACGTGAGCACGACCCAAATTTGCATTCATTATTATCCTTGCATGCCTGTAACAAGATCTAAATATTTGTTTTAGACATTGGCTATATAATATATTATATAGAGAATACTTTATTAAATACAAATGTAGCTGAATCGATAAATTTTGGTATTATCAAAATAATTTTCTAGAATTTGTTAACATCAAGAAATCATAAGATTAGAGATGGTTAGTACGTAGAAGCAACTAATCGTCCTAGCCGCGACGTGGTAGGAAATTCCTGTCATTACAAAAAAAAAATATAATTTCGAAGTTTTTTTTAGTAAAAAAGTAAAAAAAAAATGAAAGCCGTTTACAATTACCTGTAACGCCGTTTAGAGCGCAGCTCCTGAGGGGGAAGATGGAAGCGCACTGAGGGATAGTTGACTCCTTGAGGTCACGTGACCTCAAGGGGGTCACGTGACTTCAGGGGGTCACGTGACCTCGGGGGGTCACGTGACTTGGGGGGTCACGTGACTTGGGGGGTCACGTGACCTGGGGGGTCACGTGACCTCGCGGTTACGCCGACGCCGCTCAAGCCGGGAACGGGCCCCTAAGAGCTGCGCTCTAAAAAAGTCCCCCTTTGCGAAATGTGCTTCGCGCGCGCGGTGGGCACATATAGTTCTGTCCAGTTCATATCTTAACAATCTTTTTTTGTTTGTCTGATCATTTTATGCATTCCGCTATTTTGTGTTGCAACCTACAAGGATTGAGTATGTTGACACAAAATGAAGGGAGTGGATATGTTGGACTCCTATCCAGCTGACTCTCTTGAGGGAAAATCAACAAAATGTACAAGCACAGCGATTGAGATGCTCGTGTAGAGTCACTTCATCGCTCTCTTAAAGGCCGCCTCTGAGACATTTAAACGTCGTTCTCCTCACAGCATACTCGAAGAACGACTTTATGGCCAGCGCCGTGGTACATCAAATGCCTAATCAGCAAGCACGGGCCCAACGTTTCAGTTGAGAGTCTTTCTCGTCCGGTTGCAGACATATTGCAAATATACCACACGCAGGTTACAACTTCAGCAAATACCATATAGAAATTTACCAAGAGACTGTCTAATGAAAGCATCGTTCGAAGCTTCCTTCTAGGTGAGAACACAGACAGAGAAATTAAAAAAGGATCCTTCAAAAAAGCACCATTTCCCAGCGCTCAAATTGTGGCATGTGCCTGGGATCGTAGTTCAACTGAATAAGACTAAGTGCATTTTTGCGCGAATTCAAGTTATTGTTCATATAGTGTTGTGGTACCAACATTCTGACACACATAACATTTTCGAACGCCTCGCCATCAAAACACTTTTTGCAGACGATAAAACCGCGTCATTTTATGGTGTTCGACTTCAAATTTATGTTAACAAACGAGGATTAACTTTACTTTTTAAGGGCGTTTTATTAGAATGCAAGCACTTCAGAGGAATAGCTGCCCCATTAAAGGCATCAAGGTAGGAAAAGCACGAATTTTCTCCAGGTATTTCTGCTTGTATTGTTTATGATATATCTTAATACCTTAACGCCAACTATCTAAACAAGACGATTAGTTCACTAAAGGTTCAAGCTCACTTTCGTATTATATTTAGCAGTAGGGGCACGCCAAATAATACAAAAAACACAACCGCGTTGTATTTAAGTGTATTATGTTTTTGGCCCCCTATGTAATGCCTTCGAGTGAGGAAAATAAATAAAACAAAAACTTGTTCTGCCAAGCTAATCGTAATCATGAGAAATCAACAAAGCACACAATCGCTGCCCTTGAAGTACTCAAGTAGGATGTAACCATCGCTGCCTCACATTCTCAGATGACAAAGTTCAGCATTTTGTACACTGTTGTATACACTGTGATATCCATGAAAGTTTTTAATGGCGCCGCAATCCCCCATCCCAATCGGAATTTGAAATTGCTGGGCAAATGTCCCTGTTTAGACTTACTCATCCAGAAAAATCAATTTCCCACTAAATTTTGTTCTAAAGTACCGCGAGCTGAAGTTCCATCGCTCAACACATAGAGAGCAGTTTAAATCGCTAGAATAAATTTATTATGCTCGTAGCGCGGTACAACCGATTAGACTTGAGTGTATTTTTTACAACAATCTTACTTGTATTTCTCATTGATTTTACTACGATAATGCAGAGAAGATATTATAGAACATTACGTCATGAAAAAAAAATATATATATTTAGGTATACATCCGGGAAGCGTTGTTATTCTTTAAATATTATTTCCATGAGGAAATCCTTAACATTATTTTTATGAACAGCCTCCCAATAGAATTCAGGTACTCGAAAGAGAACCTGAATCGAAAAGAACCTAAAATGTTTTGTTTACTCACTTTCCTATAACATTTAGGTCTCTTAGCCTTCACCTGCCAAGCAGGTCCTGCTGAGCATTCATACATGCCAAAGTAGAAGCTGAGAAGTAAACAATGTACCAAATTAGGGTCATGTAAGGATCACATATTACGACGACGTCGATCGCGTTAGAAAAGCAGCGGTTGTGAGGATATCTACAGCTATAAATATACATACCGTAATATACTCCAGAAGCGCCACTTCGTTTCAGTGCCCACTATTAACATTAAAAAAAAATTGGGAACTCTGGAAATGTTACATTAAGCCCCCGATTTGACCGGACAAACGTCCATGTCTAGATTAACCCAGTTTTCAGTAAAAATGGGGTTGGCTCTCCCCCAATTTTTATGGTATCTATTTTAGACACGCGTACAGAGAATGTGGATGTGTTCCTTACCTATGAGGGGGGAGCGCAAGTTGGTCTTTAAATCATTTGCTAAAACTCCGCGGTTGGCTGGCACCGTGTCTTCTTCTTGGCAGGGGTTTTGGTGACGTCAGAACTTCGAGCTCTTACTAGCTCTGAAGGAAAGAATAGTAGCTAGACCTCAATGCTAGCTGCCTTGAAGTCTAGCCAGCGCCCTTCCAATCTGAGCCCTCCAGAGCTCGGTGTTCTGACGTAACCACAACCTTTGCGCAAGAAAGAATACTGGCGCTCCGCAAATAATGTTACCTTTTAAATCGACTGAAGATATGTATCCACAATTTCTTCGGAAAAAATCCAGACAAACTATTTCCTGGGAAGGAGATAGAAATGTATTTTCTAATGCATTTTCAGGGAATGTGTATTCGCAGAAACGTACAAGCGCCTAGTCGTTGCTCCCGAATGAGAACTGTTTATGCATGACGTTTTACCACGACCAGAGTTGTATAACCCTAGTTTCTTTAAAGCCATCCTGCGGATAACCCAAAACAAGTACAGCAGCGTTGAATAGGGTCGTTCTATCAATATTTCTATAAAACGAATCAAGGGTAACAAACAAGCATAAATTGAATTGTCGGGCAGACTTCCTCAAAAACGTAACTGCTAGAGAAGGACACAAAAATAAAGCAATCATTCGAGATACCGCTCTTTTAACCAAGAGCCTTCTTCTTAACATTGTTGAGTTAATCGCAACTTGTGTTAGACTACAGAAGGGTCGGAACGTGGCTTGTGCTTATCTCAAATACCCTTGTCAAGATACTGTATATTAATTGCTTTTGGTAGTTATATGAGGCAAATACATTTGATCGAGAGTATTGGTTACAGCATTCTGATTACTTTTCTGAGTATCTTCCACCTCAGCATGCAAAATACATTGTTCAGTCTTTGAAAACTTGTCATCTCACGGGAATATATTACCGGAATATGTTTACACCATACTGGAATTGACTCGCGCCATCTGTTAGGAAACGGAGTACGAGGATGTGGAGATAAAAAAACGCCATGACTAAAAAAAGAGAGGGAAAAAGTGTCATATAGTGAACTTGGGGCCGGAAAGATAGGCTATCATAGGGACAAAATAGACATTGGGGGAGGCCCATCTGGCTCACTGAAGCTCAATAGAGCGAACCGGATCTTGCTTCCATGGTCGAGGGAGCGCCCGCGCTCGCTTGAGCATGTGCTCACGTATTTTTGTTCTAGCAGTTCCTAACACAGTGGTTTTCTAAAATGGTACATTTGCTAACCAATGCGCGAAATTGAACCGATTGCAAACACCAACCGGAAACATCTAAACATAAAACATTACATAAGCCAAGACTATATGTGTATACTCAAAATTTATAACACGCGAACCCAGAGAAGCTGAAAAGAAAGCGCACCAAAAGAAAACCCACGGTGTTTTTTTATATGGTTGAAAAAACCCCGAGACTGCGGGTAAACGACACAACACTAAAAAGCCTCTGTTTTTAGTCAGAGGTTACGTTGGTGGAAAGTGGCATTCTTTGGGGTTCACACCCTCTCCCCTTTTTTTTCTTTTGTATCGAAGTGCCTATATAGCCAGGTTTGGAAAATAAAAATTTCAGCTGTGTTAGAGACTTTTTAGTGTTGCGTCGTTTACCCGCAGTCTCGGTTTTTTTTCAACCATGTGCAATGTACACCAGCTCGTTTGCACCCTTACTTTTTGTTTTTTTATGTTTGATCTATGGCCAGAATGTCAGTTTCTTTCTCCAGTCTGCCACTGTCAGGAGCATTTGCTGTGGGGAACGGTGATAGCCCGGTTTTCATAAGGAGAGGGACTGCAACAACCAAGCTATGAACAGCGTGAGCTCTCAAAACGCAAACGAAGAGTCCTCCCGATAATATCCTTTCGTCTGAACTGTTTTCTAGTGCGAAGAGCCAGTAAGAAATAAAAAAAGGACAACTCTGTAGGTTTCCCCTTGTGCCTTTTTTAAGTTATCTTATGCTGCGCTTTAGTAACCTACATAAGAAATACACGGCCACCACATCGTTTTCCGTATTGAAGATTTCTTTCACGTGAGCTCTTGTTATAGTAACCACGTTACTAGCAGAGCGTTGCGCTCAAAGTGTAGATTATAAATCAACGAGATGCAATTTTCAGCGTTAAACATTTTTTATTCGAACGCGCACCGTAAATGCTACTCGTCTAATAGGGACTTTATAGAATAACACTTCGAGTTTGTTTGGTTTCTCTCTGTTGATTACAAACAAATAATTTCGATATCAGTAAAGTATATACAACATGCGCAATGTGAATGTATCTTCCAGAGTAATTCAGTTATATTTCTGAGTATTTGTACTCTTCTTCAAATATTATCTAGTAAATGTAGATTAAGTAGTCGTTTAACCATTTTATGAATCATGTATTTAGTAACTTATCTTAAAACTGTTGTGTATCTTGTACAACGCAGGTAAAAGGACGCATTCTGAAAGGTGTTTTTCGGGAAGATACCAAAATAACTTCTGCGAAAAGTACATATTACAAACAAAAAGTCGATACATCAGTCTCTCTCATTGGTCCTGTTCAGTAAAATAATACAGTTCTCGGTAATAAAGTTCTGATCTACTTTTGAATAATAATTCTTGAGCGGCATTTCTTGTTGGGAAAACAGCTATTCCTTTAACTCATTTCTGTAGCACAGCTCTCGAAATTCCAAAAATAATTTCTCGGTATTTGTTTCTCGCGAATCGCCATGAAGAGAATTTGCGATTCTTTCTCGAATATAAAATAAATAAACTGGCTCCGAAAATACGCTTAATATTTCATTCGAACTCGCCGTTTAATACAAAAAATATGTGTAATATTAAAATACAGTAGACAAGACACTGAACGCAAGCAGTCACTGCTCTGTTCACGACACCGAGTTTTTGATACTGAATAAAATCTGCTTCCAAAAAAAAAAAAACACAGGAATAAAGAGAAAAATCCAAAATCAAGGATTGGAAGCAAGCTTTTATTTGAGAGAGAATACGAATTACAGTTTGTCTTTAGCCACCAAACCTTAGTTGTTTATGATTAAGTATGCGAAAAAAAATATTGTTATCGCGTAGTATGTTTTTTTTTCTTCTTTTGGTTGACTACATTTAGATACTTTCATAATAGCACTTGTATTCGAAGAACACTTACGGCCGAAGAATGCGGTCCTGATTTTAGGCGAAAACAATTCCCCAAGCATTACCCAAAAACTGCGACGTGTATGAAAGTTAATTTTCGGAATGCATCCCAAAGGCCTTATATTAGATTTTATTCTTATGCACACAGCTCATTGAAGTTAACTAGAGAAGGACAAGGAAAATTGCCCCTAAGTGCTATTTCTGACAAGAGTAAAGTGCTCCATGGAACACCTAACCCTCTCGGTCTATTAAGAATCGGCTCGATTAACGTAATCAGATTTCTAGACATTGCCCTACACTGTTTTGTTTAAATACGAGTATAACAAATAATAGTCACAGCGAGCAGAATCATAAAGAGGAGGTTTTACAATTTAATATCTAATAAAGGAAAGTAACATCGTTACTGAGCAAAGGGTATGGCACCCATGCGGAGGGACAAAGGGCAAGTGATTGACCTCACGGAAGGGGCTCGGATATTAATTATACACAAATCGACTACCTTTCCTGCAGTATTTATAGCGCGGCTTATTTGGTGATTACAGTTAAAATTTACAAAATGAACAAAATCTTGTGCACACCGTGCACACCGTGCGCTAATTCTCAAAGCTCATATAGTTCAGCACGTTTCGATGCCAGGTATATTAATATCACCAAATATTAAAACTCTTTAAGATCTGAAGTCAAATTGCACAAAAACGTGTCTTAAAGATTACTTATTGAAAAAAGGCAGAACGAGAAAGAAAGTAATAATTCCCGATGAGAAAATTGGGTCCGCTATTGATGCGAACTTCGACCTAAAGACATTCATTACTCTCATGATCCCTCCGTCGAAAGCACGTCAATGACTTTTGCACCACCGTAAGTACGCCTCATCCTAGAGTACAAGAGAAGCGCTCGAAATCGGGGTCGCATAAAGAAACCTGGTAATCGCTGAGAAAATATTTAAAATTAGACACCAAACAGGTGAGCGACGGTTTTGTTAGGCACATAACGTTAAATTCCGAGGCTAAAACTGGCTAAAAACTATTGCTGACTTAGGGCTCTATTCACAAACATTTTGATCTTATTTTAACACACTGCTCATTCTGATACGCTATTTGGCAGTTCAACCGATGGGAAGTCATGCAAGCGCTCCCAAAAAGCACAATACAAGCATCCTTTGGGCCATGTACTATGATCCGTGATGGGAATGAAGCGTTCAACTAAAGAGCTGATATGAAACGAAGCATAGGTATAATTTTTACTACGAAGCCTGTTCCCACTCTACAAACCTACGTCCAATGCAGACGACACAAGATCGGCCAGACTCTTGTCCGTGGTTAAATGATGAAGCATTGAAACAAAAAGGTGCAATTTACAGGCGTGATGCAACTGGAGCGATTAGGACGGCACCAACTTCACGGAGGACGACGCTTTCGATAGTTCAGTTCCGTTCCGAACCCATCAACAGGTTCGGAATTAAATGGTGCCGCATCATCATATGCACGAGTGCTCGGATCGGTGATAAAAGTACCAGCTTCACCATGGCTGGAGCGGGAAGTACCTGAGGCGACGACCTGTCCTTCCGAAGTAGCCACTGAACAAACAGCTATCCTGATGGCGTTCCAAGCGAATCGCTTGTAGGTAGGACGGTCCGCAGTGTACCGTTTGGCAGACAGCCGGGTCAGAAAAGCCACGGGTGCAGGAGCAGCATGATTGATCAAAGTCCCATTTATTTTTATTGCCGCGAATATGGTTATCTTCGTGAAGGCAACGAACTGGGTCGAAGAGCTTGATAATCTTTCAGCACGTGATAGTACACATTATTGAACACCGCAAGTTCCTAGACCTAGCCTAGCTTTCGATACATCCTGACATTCTATCACAACCTCAGCAGGCTCAAGGTTCTTGGTCACGTTTTCCTGCTGAACCTAACGTTTCCAGGCTGACATAAGCTCCGTACACCAACTACATTTGTACGATTTATTTCCGTCGGTCATGAAAATGCTGTAGTCATCTCCCTGAATTTCGAGGCATTTTCAGCGTAATCTACGTCAAAATGTGGCGCAAGAAGTGTGGAATTGCCGACCGTAAAAAGGGGAAGGAGCACTTTCCGCACACGTCCTGACTCCCCGTCATTCCGGCACGGAATGAAGGGCAGCAAGGACGCTTTAGTACGTATGTCTTTCTGTACGAATTCTCTCCCTCTATTGTTCGCATACCCAAAGATCAACGTACAGTTTATCGTCGACACAATAAACGCTGATTTCAATGTTCTAAAACCCCATTAAATATCCCGACCTTCTTAAAATAACGTAGGCAAATATTTTCCACGGAAGAATATTTAGTAGTCCAATGAGCTTATTTGATTATAAGTCAAATCGATCGACATTAGGCTAACTGTAGGTCTGGTGTCTTTCCGTCCTTTAGACGGATTGTCATAGAGTGTAATTTTACGTATTTCATCGATTTTTGCGAATGCTTGTGGTTTTATCACATTTCTAAATACCTCAGTACGACGACGGCTCGGGAGTGTCTTCTTTTCTGGTGCCCTAACCTTGACACTCGGCGAACAAATCGGCAAGCAATCCGGCGGCAGTGATTGGCCACCGCCTCGCTCGACCTTGGCGGCTGCCAGTCACTGCCGCCATATTTTTCGCCGACTTTTTCACGAAGTGTACAGACTAGGGCCCATGGTTTCTATAGTCACATGCATGATACTCTTGCTTGTGGCATAAACACCCAGGGTTTACATTTATTCAAGAGCACATTGCATTCGACTGGGGTTCCCAATTCTTTAAACTATTCGACAATCTCGCCATACTTTTGTTTCAGAATAAGTTTGTTGTTGCAAAGTTAACGACAAGAGCCAATGTAAGTTTTTTTCCTCACTCCCTCTTACTCGCTACACAAAACGCGTAGTTAATGTTGATATTCTAATAGCACATGCATGTAACCTAGACTATAAATACTTTGTGTTTAACGAAAAACATGCGAGGTATAACTTAAAAGAATTAAAGGTGCAAAGATAATCAGTCTCAAAATAACAATTGGCGCGCAGGCGAGCTGGCGATAATTAATCATAAGCTAGCTACTGTCTCACTCCTGAAACAGTAGCTAGTTTTGAAGATTTTTTTTTCATTTTTCACAGCTCAGAATTAGGTGTAAGATATTTTGACGGTCAGTTTTTTCAGACAACTTACACAAAAATGCAGTTATTAGGTAAACCCTGTCCTTCAGTTTATATTCACATCTTCCGACGTGCTATTACTTTGGCTTGCAACTCTTACCTTTCCAGAACAACAAGAGTAACGATGAAAATGGTTACGGCACGCATTGTTGAAGGGTTATTCGGGAGTATCTTCGCAGATATGCGTGAAGAAGCAAGTAATTTCAAAGTCCCGACCCTACCTCCTTTTATAGTACATCAACAGTTGCAGGACTTATCAAGTATGATTTCATCTTTCGAATACACGCCCTTTTTTATTAAAATTGTTTTTCTGCCCTTTTCGCGGGTTCGGCGACCTGGTACTGAAGGTCAGCGAATGTCGCTGGCAATCAACCTCTTGAAGCTTGTGCGACGTCCTGTTGCCTCGTGGAAAATTTAAGCGAACTTTCAATTAATCTTCGCAGCAGCAAATAACTCATAGCTGACGGGGCTTGGAAATATCCGTGTGGAGAGTTGACTGGAAAAAAAAATTAAATGTATTTGAACAATGGCTGAGCAAAAAAAAATTGGGGATTAAGATGGCCTTTGTATGAAATTACCATTTTATTTTATTACTAGCACACTTTTCCCTGCACCATAGGGCTAGACCACAGTGCCGATGTTGGATCTAGCTTATAAAAATACTGCAGGATCAATTAATTCATTCGTGTGCAGATGTCCGTTCATGTTTGGACGACTTTCTGACGGATGCATAATTTCTTTTTCATGGTGATAATATCTTACAAGACAAGCCACAACTTGTCTCTATCTGAACGGTATAAACAACCATTATGCTAAACTATAAAATAAAAATACACTTTGAAGTAGTCACGTAACGAGGCTTTTACATATCTGTATCCCTCGTTTTTAACGTTTTACAACCATACGCCATAATATGTCGATATTTACAATTTCACGATAGTACCGATCTGTTCGTTAAGAAATCTCAGTACATTTTGTCTGGACCAGTGGCTCGAAACAAATTAAGAAATTATTACGTTTTAAGATTCGAGTGCTAATATCAATTTTGTATGATAATAAAAAAGTGAAACACGAATAGCGGAATTGGTGCCATTCTTGGAATAACACAATATTATTAATAATAATATTGCAAATTTAAACACGCAGAAATGTTTAATTTATTTATCCATTTATTTACATAAATACCTTCAGGGTCTTGAGGCATTACAAAGAGGGGGTCATATACTATTGGTTCAGTAAAAGATTCAACAAAAAAGAGGACTTGGTTATAAAAGTTAGTTCGGCACAATCTTAGCAAAAGTGACTAGTTAGTCGTTTCCTAAATAAAAAAAATTGATAGAATAGTTACTAATCATGTGGGAAGGCGGTTCCATTCAGATGACGTTCTAGGAATGAAAGAGTCGATGTAAGTTGAGGTTTAACAATGAGGTATGCCATCTTTATGGCGGCGATCGGTGCGGAAAAAATGAGAGGGGCTAATGAATAGTTTGTCTTTCCAATAATCGTTGGAATGGTACGTTCTATGAAAGAGGCACAAACGAGATATTTTACGTCGTGAGGGTAGAAGAGGCAGAGACAGGGTGGCTTTCATAGATGAAGCACCTGCGGTGCGATGAGGGTTACAGACTATGAAACGTGCGGCGCAATTTTGTAGGGCTTCGATGATTTCCACAAACGTTTTGTGACCGGGATCCCAGATTGCTGCGGCATATTCCAGCTTTCACCGTATTAACATCTTGCACAGAAGATGGTTTATTGACGTAGGGGCTATAGAAAAGTTTCTTTTTAAATATCCAAGCATCGCATTAGCGTTAACAATTATATAATAAGAGTAGCTTTCCATGATTGTTTAGACGTGATTTGAGTACTAAGATACTTGAATGAGGTTAGACAAATCGTGTACGGTGACGGTGACGTGTTGCGACAAGACACCCTGATAGTTCTACATTTGGTAGTATTGAGAGCAATTTCTATAAGTTATATCATTCCGAAACCGCGCGTACGTCAGCCTGAAGAAGAACAGCATGTGATTTGTTAGCAATTTCACGATATATTACGCATCATGTGATAGTGCGCGTGCTCTGCGCTACCTAAAATGTTCCATCACTTAAACTATGTGTCACTTTATTCCAATAAAAAGACATATTTAATGTTGTACAACAATACTTATTGTTTTTGTGGAAGCTTTATCGCTGATTTAACCTTTTTAATACAATATTCTGTTGCTGCGGCTACCGGAAGGGCCTTCAAGTTGCATAAAGGCAGCTTTTTTTCTCTGTTTCTTCTCTGTCTGCATACAAAAATTAAGATAAACGTTTCCATGTTTCCAATATTAGATAAACTATCGCGAAAGAACATTTCATTTAACGTGAAACATTTGAATAAAATGTCGGTTTTTGATTATGCGTCAGGATAGTTTTGTTATAAAAGCAGTGTTTCTATTTTTTTATTCTCGGATAGGTACGCGTTTGAGAACAATTATTTGCAGATGTAACACAAGTGATTTTTAGTTTGAAAATTGAACACCCAAGTGGAACATTATTTAATAATGTAAATCGTTTATTGCAACATTGAAGTTAGCACAATAAAGAAACGGCCTGTCGAATCCTTTAAAGTGTTTTGGGACATGGCCCTGCAACGCCAGGTACAGCATTTAAATGAGACTATAACTTGCGTCACACCGTAATGATTACGTAGTAAATAAATAAAGAATAACTAATATTAAAACAAGAAACAAGGTAGGTATTATAAATAGTCAGTGACCTCAATTCAAGAATATAATAATATTATTATTATATTTAAAACTAATATTAATAATACAAGTTATTAGTTAAAGTGTGGAAAAGAACCATCTTGGCCTTTAGAGCAAAATTATTTTAAATTTCGATTCAACTACTACCTAAGACACACGCAAGGACAATCCTAACCTGGATCATGTTTGGAAGTTGTAGGGCCTAATCTCCCAGGTAGCGCCACAGAGAAACGCCCAATTTGCCAGGAGCTTGGCAATCCTAAGAGCCTAACTTTGGTCTAATACAATTTTGCGACGAGGCGATAGTTAATGTCTGAATAATATGCTTTGGTGCGTCTATGGTTTTATATGATTTTGTCCTGTTATCTTTATGGCTATTTAGTCCCAAAGATGCCATATGAAAACCGAGAAATCAGAACTAAAGCATTCGCACTTAAGTGCCCGTGATAGGCCCTACCAAGCCTTTGTTTGTAAAATTGCGCCAAACATACTCGCACCCTGTGCAGAGAAGGAAACATTTGGCTCAACCCCGGCTTCTACGAGCTTATTGAGGACCTATGTTGAATCTCACCGAAATGTTCGTGTATTAAAATTTGTTCAAATATCTCTTAACGTCTTTATAATATCGATGAAAATTATTTTAAGTACATCAGACGCAAACTATCTAGAACAAAATGCCAAGTCTGTCTCTATCTTTAGTTGGCCTCATAATAGACGTTATGCGACAATGATCGAACGTTTGGTAACAATCTGTCGCTGCCATCCTTGGTTGGTGGAACATCCTATGCTCTTTGTCAATTCCGTAGCTTTGAGAGTAACAATCAAGGCGTACGGCTCACCCTCATCTATCCACACCCACACCTCCGAGCAAAGGATTAGCGGATATAGGTGCTCCTCGCCCCGCCGGTCGCTGGTTTCTCGCTGTAACCAACATGGCGGAGGCACACTTTAGCTAGAAATTTGGCTTTGAGTGCCGGCAAAGGCATGGGCGCGGGCGCCTGGTCTACAAGAGCGCTTTCTCTGCAGGAATGCTTGTGGGGGCGAAGGATTCTTCAGAACTAAACTTTCGCGCCCTGGTCTTTGCCAGCCCCGAAAATAACTGCTGAGACGGAACATTTTCTTCGGTGCCAAACAGATGGCGCTGTGCATATCGCATGGATTCTATTGCCGAGATCCCGGACGTGGGCCGAAAAGTACACGTGATAACCGAACAATGAGCAATGAAGCCTAATTCTGGCATTTTCTCGGGAATTGAGGCTTGAAGAAGTCAAATGACAACCGAAAGTTGGGAAGTGAAGCCCAACTGCGGCATTTGCTAGACGACATATGCAAAGGTATTCAAGGTGACAAAAGACAGACAGAAGTAAAGCCGAATTCGGCCATTTGTTCTGGGAATGAAGTAACGCTCCTCGGATCATGCAATATTTGAGAGAGCTTAATTCTTATTTAAGGTTCATGCGAATATGCAAGTATGAATGGAAACATTGTAAATAATAATTCATAGAAACTAAGAATTTATTTATTTATGCATGCACAGGGAAACCTGCATCGCCATGAGGCATTACTGATGAAGGCAAATTAAACTGCCGAACATGAAACGGTGCGTAATTAAATATAGTTTTGTAAACACTACATACAACACCCTCAAGAGAAAGGACGGGAGTTTGGTGGATCATAAAATAAACCACTGGTTATTCCTGACGTAATTTGTTACAGATAACAGCAACGTGGACTGAAAAGCATGATAAACCATCTTTAGGCTCTGCTCCATGTTAGGCTATGTCCTTTCAACATATATTATGTGTCGGTGGAATCACTCAAATTATGATGTCTTCTAATCTCCAATAAGCGAGTGGGCAAGGCAAAAACTATTGAACGACGACGACTACCATACCGGACAGCGATCTCGTGCCAGTTTGTACGAGGGTTGTTACATAGGTTTTTCCTGCTCTGCTGCAACTTTTTTTAATGTATCGTGTATATTGAAAAAATATTAAATTCACATAAAAATAAGAAACTTCTTTCTCAGGAGTACGTCGGTTTTTCATGTAGTGACAACCCGCGTTGATGTCTTTCCGCCATTTTTTTCAATGGCCTCTTCGTGTCCTCGTAGAAGTATGAGCCCATCTGTTCACTACACCAACGGCGCATCGCATTTGGGGACCTGTTCGTGGGACGCCAAGCGCGCACCCTTCAGATATGTCTTCATTTTGGGGGAAAAAACAGAACTCTGATGTCCCGAGGTCCAGCACGGAACGTAGGCGAGGCAGAAATCCTTAAAACTGCAGCTTCTTTTGTGATGGATTACTCTTGTCAAGACCCGCTTTCGTTAATCTACGACGGCACGTGGTGTCGGATGTGCATCGACGCTGGCGGAGCCTTTACAAAAATGATGAATTCCTGCAAAAAAATTTATGACCAGAAAATCATCTGAAAA